TACTCCAATGGTTCACCTTAGGGGTCAGAGAGGTAGGAATCTTCCGCCTTGAAATGATTTAAGAATGTAGGAAGAACCCTGCTGGATCAGACCGGTAGTCCACCTAGTCCAGCATCCTGTCAAAAACAGGGGCCAACCAGTTCCTCTGGACGGCCAACAACAGGGCATAGAGGATGAGGCCTTCCCCTGATCAGGACATCAAAAGAGTTCTGCTGGATCATACCAGTACACCTAGTCCAGCATCCTGTCTCACACATGCCTCTGGAGGGCCAACAGCAGGTCATAGAGGCTGAGAACTTCCCCTGATAAGAACCTAAGAAGAGCCCTGCTGGATCAGACCAATGAAGGTCCATCTAGTCCAGCATCCTGTCTCACACAGTGGCCAACCAGTTCCTCTGGAGGGCCAACGATGGGGTACAGAGGCTGAGGCCTTCCCCTGATGTTGGCTCTGGGATTCAGAGGCTTAAGTGCTTCTGAATGTGGAGGTTCCCCTCAGTCACCATGGCTAGAAGAAGTCACTGATAGATTTATCCTTCATGAATCTATCTGATCCCCTTTTAAACCTGTTTATTCCTGTGGCCATCCTCTGGCAGCAAATTTCGCCTTTTAATCCCTCTCTGTGCAAAGTAGTATTTCCTTTTGTCAGTCCTGAACCTACTGCCCATCAGTTTCGTTGGAGGCCCTCGAGTTCTCGTCTTTTGGGAGAGGGACGCTAGGTCCGCCTCCCTTCCAGCCATACCTTTTTCTGATACAGTGGTTGTGAGATGCTGGACAAGTGATGGCCCTGCAGAACCTCAGGATGGCCCAGGTTAAGGGTCTGATCTAGAGATGTAAAATTTCTGGAAAAAATGTCAATTTTTGGAAAAATTGAAAAAAATGCTACATTAGCATTTCTATTGTCTTTTCTAGATTGAAAGTCATTCTGTTACTTTAGGAACATAAAATATGACTATGGACATTTTTAGTTGGCATGAAATTATCACAACTTGCATATTAAAAATACAGTGTATCCAAACAATTATTACAAACAGAATACCCGCCCACATGCAAAAACAAAACTGAAACCTTTTTCTTTTCTCGTGACAATAGCACCTCCTAAAGGAAGAAATGCATCTTGTTCTTGCATTGGAGAGTTCAGTTTGTAACCTAGGACTTGCTTGTCCTCAGTGCACAGAAATTAGATCAATCTGATACCATATATATATATTTTAGAAATGATTTGGAAAATATTTGAACACCTTGTCTTAAAATATTTTATTCATCATGTTAAAATAAAACGTTCCATAATCAATTTTTTTTCCTTTTCTTTTCTCAATTTTTCCAATTTTTTGGAAAAAAACAAAAAAGCTTCGGGAAAAAAACGGGGGGAAATCGTTTCCCCCCCGCCTCCGACTCACACTTTTTTTTGTCTTCACTCAGGGTTGCCCTACGTTGGCTACAACTTGACGACACTTTATACACACAAACACACGTATCTCCTCATCTGCTTTACCCTCACGCCAACTCTGTCAGGTGTAAGGAGATAACTGGTCCAGAGCCACCCAAGGAAATGGCCGCCTGGGCTTCCGAACCCACTGTCTCGTTTTGACACTCTGAGCTTTGCGCCGTACTGATGGAGTCTCTCTTCACGGAGGCCTCAGAACCTGAACGCTCCCATGCTCCTGCGGGGCTTTACTTTAGCCCTTGAAACTCCATCGTGGCACTAGAGGAATAATGGAAGACTGGGCCGTCCTCATCAATAATCCATATCCTCAGCACTCCCATTCTAAAGAGAGCTTTTTCTTCTCCCCAAGTCGACCTTGAACGAATTGGCAAAGTGTTTCCTAATAGGTACATTTCTTCTTCTTTTTTTTTGCATAAGGACATCACGGTCCTAGCCAAGGCCCGCATTCTCTTCCCCCATCTTCCCCCCCCCCTCGTTGGTCAACCCAGCCTGACTTCTGGAAATCAGAGATCATTATGCCAGTTTATTTTATATCCCCCATTGTCTACGTTCAAAGCAGCTCTCAGGAATGAATATAAAGAACAGTAAAATCTCAGTATGAAGTAGTCTATGAAAGCCCCGCAGTTAGGGTCGCCAGGTCCCGCCTGGCCACCTGTAGGGGATGGATGGGTGTGTTGTTTTTTTTGCCAAATCCGAGTTGGGAAACTCTAGGAGATTTGGGGATGGAGCCTGGAGAAGAAAGGGACCTCAGTGGGGCGGGGTATAATGTCATGGAGCCCCCACCCTCCAAAGCATCCATTTCCTCCAGGGGAACCGATCTCTGTAGTCTGGGGATGAGCTGTAGTTCCGGGGGATCCCCAGGTCCCCCCTGGAGGCTGGCATCCCTTCCCTCAGTAGTCAACATGCGGAGGAGCTATGGTGACTTCAAACGCTGCCAAAATCACAGCAGCATTCTAAAAGCTTCAAGGCTTATTCGAGCGAGCGGGGCCTTGCTTTGTTTCCCTCATAAAGTTAATCAAGAGCTGTGAGAAGGCACTTCTCACCGGGTTTGATTCCCCCACTCCTCCACTTGCACCTGGCTGGCTGGCCTTGGGCAAGCCCTAGTTCTGACAAGAGCTGTCCTTGAAAAAGAGCAGTTTCTGTCAAGAGCTCTCTCAGCCCCACCTAACTCACAGGGTGTCTGTTGTGGGGAGGGGAAGGGAAAGGAGTTTGTCAGCTGCTCTGAGACTCCAAGTGAAGGGCGGGGTATAAATCCAATCTCTTCTTCTTCTTCTCTTCTAATCTGGGAGAAGTGTGTTTGATTCAAGGTATTGCTCCTCCACTTGCACCTGCTGGATGACCTTGGGCAAGCCATAGTTCTGGCACAGCTGTTTCTTGAAAAAGAGCAGTCTCTGTCAAGAGCTCTCTCAGCCCCACCCACCTCATGGGGTGTCTGTTGTGGGGAGAGGAAGGGAAAGGAGTTTGTAAGCCGCTCTGAGACTCCCTTGGGTAGTGAAGGGCGGGGTATAAATGCAATCTCTTCTTCTTCTCCTCTTCTAATCTGGGAGAACCGGGTTTGAGTCCCCACTCCTCCACTTGCACCTGCTGGATAACCTTGGGCAAGCCATAGCTCTGATAAGAGCTGTTCTTGAAAAAGAGGAGTTTCTGTCAAGAGCTCTCTGAGCCCCACCTCCCTCACCGGGTGTCTGTTGTGGGAAGGGGGAGGGAAAGGAGTTTGTAAGCCGCTCTGAGACTCCCTTGGGTAGTGAAGGGCGGGGTATAAGTCCAATCTCTTCTTCTTCTTCCTCCTCCAAGATGTCTTTCGTAGCAGCGCGAAGTCACTTTCATCCTTGTATACCCGTTCTCTGGTTTTCCCTCCGTGTACAGAAATGAAGTAAATATACATTTTTAAGAATCCCGCAGATAGAGAAGCTAGTATTCTAAGAGAGGAGAGAGGCGTGCTTTCTTTGAAGAGGCCAGTTTTCTATGTTCGGAGAACTTTCTCCGTATTTTTAAATGTATTCACAGTCCATGTTTCTAACAGGAGCTCAAGGTGGATTACATAGATCGAGTCAGTGCAGTCAACAGGATGGGATATTCAATAAGCGCGGTAGGATTTGGGTTGTAGAACCAACCAGAAATTTAAAAAAGAAAAACCAGAACTAAAGCAAATTGTTCACATGAAACCAGAAAAATGGTTCCCAGTGCTTGATCACCTGTCTCAAAAACAATTCATCTCCACTGAATGGTCTCAGTACCACAAATGGATATAATATTAACGGAAGCCTAGTTCTATAAAATCTCACACTTATCTACTTCTTTCCTATCCTCTAGCTTTAAGATTTCTACTCAAATCTTTCAAATGGTATGCTGTTCTACAGTAACAGTCAGTGTATGTTGATAAAATGTTTTTTGTCTCACCACTTCAATAGTTCAGAATGATTCCAAAATTTTTCATTTAAGTCTAAGATTTGTCTACCGTATTGCATATATACTGTCAAGATAGACTCTGTTCTGTACCGAGTAATGTATTGTAATTCAGGAAACATGTTATAACTCTGTACGAGCTCAGTGAATGTTTGCAGGATGTTACTGTAATCACAAAGATTAGTTGTTAATTGTTAAAAATGTCAGAAATGTTAAAAATAAAAAACATTATTATATAAAAAAGATGCAAAATTACACAGTGGGGATTCTGTTTACAGCAAACTGTACACAGTAGCGTAGACCACAGTCCCTAATAATTCATCCAAGTAACTTTGTGAATAATTTTGTACAGTGCCACTTTGTTGCCTGCATAGAAAAGCCCTCGTGGATAATTCAGCTTTGTATAGTTCGTGGAAAGCCAGGAGAGCGGGAGCCTTCCTGATCTCCTGAGGCAGGCCGTTCCGCAAGGTGGGGGCCCCAGTGGAGAAGGCCACATGTACGAGCAGTGCCTTCTCCGTTGTGGCCCCACCGTTACAGTTTGGTACCTGTAGAAGGCCCCCTGCTCAGATGAGTGTAGCTGACTTGGTGGAGCATCGGTGCTGAAGTGGCATGGCCTAGGTGTACGAGCAGTGCCTTCTCTGTTGTGGCCCCACCATTACAGTTTGGTGCCTGTAGAAGGCCCCTGCTCAGATGAGTGTAACTGACATGGTGGAGCATCGGTGCTGAAGTGGCATGGCCTAGCAAGGGCAGTACCAGGTGAGTGTGGTGCCCAGTGTTCCCTCTAAGCTGAGTTAGTGTGAGCTAGCTCAGAGCTTTTTTAGCCTCCGGCTCACACATCTTCATCTTAGCTCAGGAAGGACGGCTCCAGAGCAGACTAATTTGTACAGCAGCCAAATCGCTCATTCACAACTTTAATGCCAGTAGCTCACGAAGTAGGATTTTTGCTCACAAGGCTCCACAGCTTAGACGGAACGTTGGACTGGTGCCCCTGCAATTCGGTTTTCACGACCTGATCCTCAATTGTACTTTCGGGGGAACCAGTCTGCCGATGTGAGTCAGTGTTACTGTGTGCCGCTCTTATTAACACTGTAATAATCACAGTGCAGTTCAATGTTTTGTCTCACTTCTTCTGTTCTCTCTCTTTCTCTAGAAAGAAATCCAAGCTATGAGTCAGTGCCATCATCCGAACATCGTATCTTACTATACGTCGTTTGTAGTGAAAGACGAACTTTGGTTAGTGATGAAGCTCCTTAGTGGAGGTAAGTTTATTGCAGTTCATTGGGAGTTATCCCAAGTTCTGGCATGCCCCCATCAAAAGGAATGGGGGGTGGGCAATGCTCCCTCTAAGCTGTGGAGTCTTGTGAGCAAGAATTCTGCTTTGTGAGCTACGAGCATTAGAGTTGTGAGCGAGCGATTTGGTTAATGCATAAATCCGTTTGCTCTGGAGCCCTCCTTCCTGAGCTGAGACAAAAATGTCTGAGCCGGAGGCTAACAAACTGTGAGCTAGCTCACACTAACTCAGCTTAGAGGGAACACTGGTGGTGGCTATTAAAAGTGTCCTAGAGTCCTTTTCTTTCTGCAGTAACCTATGATTTAAGTGCTGGTGGGGCGCTTTTGGTGATATGCAAGTGTATTTTGTCCATTATTTTTCCCCCTCTCTGCAGCCTCTGTTCCACAATACATCCCTTTATGTAGGGTCTTGGGAATGGTTGGGGCGGGGGACACACATAAAGGTAATGTTTTTTTTTTTTATATCCCGCCCTTCACTTGGAGTCTCAGAGCAGCTTACACTCTCCTTCCCCTCCTCCTCCCCACAACAGACACCCTGTGAGGTGGGTGGGGCTGAGAGAGCTCTGACACAAACTGCTCTTTTCAAGAACAGCTCTGACAGAACTATGGCTTGCCCAAGGTCATCCAGCAGCTGTGAGTGTGTCAGGCTCCCCCACAGCATCGATGAAGTACACTCTTGCAGAAAGGTTTTACTTTATTTGAAGCTATAGGTGCATGTACAGGATCACTGTTAGGAATGAGGGGGGAGTAGCGAGCATGACAGCTTATAGTACATTCAAACAGCTGAGGCCCAATTGCAGGACTTCCCGCGCGCCATCGGGCCTGGGAGCAAATGGTTCTAGGTGGCATAACATATCTCCTTCCCACGGTTCTTCGTGAGATCACCCAAGCAACTATCCAGCAGCAACCACCTGTGGCCTTGAGAGATATAGACGTTCCAGCAGCTAAGCAATTAAGCGCATCAACAGGTCTACATATGAAAACGAAAGTAAGCAAGCGCATACATGGGAAAACCAACAGAAAAGAAAATTGGCAGCTTGCTGACAGAGTGGAGTGGGGAATCAAACCTGGCTCTCCCAGATTAGAGTCCATGCACCACACTGGCTCTCTTTATGTAGAAGACATGATAAAGGTAATGTAGCAGAACATGAAGTTGAGCACACTCCGGAGGACAACAGAGGACAGGAGGGCCTGGCGTGATGTGGTCCTTGGAGTCGCAAAGGGTCGGACTCAACTGTGCGACTGAACAACAACAGGAGACAAAGGGTGGGGAATCCTTTCCCAGTCAGATCTGAGTGTGGTTTTTTATGGCTAAAAGCTAATCTGCAAGAGATGTCTGAGATCCACGTGCATTTAAAAGGAATGGTCTTTTGTTTCCTCTCTGAGCTGCGTGCGACAGTTCGCAGACGCTGGCAATATGAAATAAAACGAATCCGCCCACCACAGTGTTTATCTCTTGATGACTGTATCCAAGTGCCTTTGCGTTTGTATACTCAGAAAAGTATAAAAGGAAGCAGCAGAGAGGGTAGAATGGGGACAACAAGCGGTAAATCAGGGGTCCTCAACACGGCGCCCACTGAGGCCTTTCCTGATGCACACCAAGAGTTCTTAGGAAGTGGATAGGACCAGATGGGGCTTTTACTCAGCAAGGTTTCTGACCGGCCACTGGAGATTTGATTGGCTATGCATATTTTTTAAAAACATTGCTTCGGTAGCCGCCGCCGCCGTAGCACAAAGATCTTCACTCTGTGGCCGAAGGTAAGCGGCAGCAGCCATTTTGTGGCCGCCATTTTGTTGCTATGCCTGCTGCACAGTGTCCGTTTTCAAAGGTGCCCATGGGCTCGAAAAGGCTAGGGACCCCTGCAATAAGGGGCGGGCGAGTTGTGTGGAAGTTAGCGGTGCTTTCCTTGCCTTTATCTCTGAAGAATCCCCACCCCCACATGGTGCGTTGTGTTACGGGAAGTTAGGGACACCTCTTCTGGTAGCCGCTTCTCGGGTGCCGCATTTGAATTTACTTGGCTGAAAGGCAGAGTATTAACTGATGAAGACTGTGCCTCCATTGGTGATCAAATTCACTGCCACAGGAAGTGGTGGCGGCTACAAGCATGGACGGCTTCAAAAGGGAATTAGATAAGCAAATGGAGCAGAGGTCCATCAGTGGCTATTAGCCACAAGGTATAGATAGGGACTCTGGGGCAAGGGATGCTCTGTCTTCTTGGTGCTTGGGGGGGTCAACAGTGGGAGGGCTTCTAATGTCCTGGCCCCACTGGTGGACCTCCTGATGGCACTGGTATTTCTGGCCACTGTGTGACACAGAGTGTTGGACTGGATGGGCCTTTGGCCTGATCCAAAATTGGCATCTCTTATGTTCTTATGTTCTTAACCCAATCATTAAAGGGCCAGTTTGGTGTAGTGGTTAGGAGCACAGGCTGTAATCGGGCAGAAGAAGAAGAAAAGAGATTGAATATATACCCCGTCCTTCACTACCGAAACGAGCCTCAGAGTGGCTTACAAACGCCTTCCCCTTCCCCTCCCCACAACAGACAATCCTGTGAGCCAGGCGGGGCTGAGAGATCTCTGACAGAACCTGCTCTTTTTCAAGAACAGCTGTGCCCGAACTACTGCTTGCCCTAGGTCATCCGGCCAGGTGCAAGTGGAGGAGTGGGGAATCAAACCCGGTCCTCCCAGATTAGCGTCCGCGCACTTAACCACTACACCAAACTGGCTCTCAACCGGGTTCGATTCCCCACTCTTCCACATGCAGCCGCTGGTGTAACCTTGGGTCAGTCACAAGTTCTCTCGGAGCTGTTCTCTTAGGATCAGTTCTCGGGAGAGCTCTCTCAGCCCCACCTCCCTCACAGGGTGCCTGTTGTGGGGAGGGGAAGGGAAAGGAGCTTGTAAACCGCTCTGAGATTCCTTCGGGTAGTGAAGGGCGGGGTATAAATCCAATCTCTTCTTCTTGGCATCCAGCCTGGGGGACTTCCATATCTGAATCATCTAGTCTTTTCCAGACCGTAATTGCCCGTCTCCTGGAGGGAGTCACAGCACTGACTCACACAAGGCTCTCCCTGCATTTGTGTCATAAATCAAATTTTTATTGACCTTTTCCTCCACCCTTAATGATCTTGTTAATTTTTTTTTAACCTGACATTTAAAGAGGGAGGGGTTAAAAGCGGGGAAGGGAGAGGTTTCGAGGCAGTAACTCTTCGTATATGTTACCGTCTTCTTTTCAGAGTTCTCCGATGATTGCTCTGTTGGTAAATTTACAGCTGTTCAGTTTAAGTCAGTGATTCCACCCCCCACCCCCCAGCTCCTTAACTTCCGCGAGCCCTTTGCATATTGATCTGTGTGCAGAGGAGGCCAGAAAATGTTGAGGTGCATTCTGGAGGGGTGCAGTCAGCTCAGACAGCTCACCCACCAAGCATTTGGTCCTTTTGCATCCTCTTGTGTTGTGTCCCCCAGGAGAAATCTGTGCGAGGTGCGTTTTGCAGGGCTGCTATCAGCCACGGCAAAGAAGCTGCATGGTAGCAAAGTTTATCTGACATCTCTTGATCTTTCCATGGAGGAAACCCTGCGCGTCTTAGCCACTTGAGCCACCGCAGCTCCTCAGATTTAGGACTAGGGGTATGCAGAAAAATAAATAAAAAATTCGGTCCTATTTGGATTCGGAGGAATCGGGCAGAATCAATTTCAGCTGCAGAAAGACTCCCAACATGTCAATTTTGGCCCCATTATATCCTATGGGCCATTGAAGTCAATGGCGAAAACATAGGGTATATTCTGGGGGCTGGAGGGGAGGGGGTTTGACGTAGCGGCTCCAAACTCGCAGGGTATCTGCCGGAGCCTCTCCCCAAGATACCCACCGAGTGTCAAGAACATTGGACCAGGGAGTCCAATTCTATGGGCCCCTAAACAGGTTGGCCCCACCCCCTCCATTGTTCTCTATGGTGGGAAAAAAGTTTCACTCCATCTCCTAGAAGACTCTCTGATAACCTTCTCTAAATTTCAGTTCTTCTCTACAGGGAGGTCTAGGTATGTGACTTCCTTTTCTTGAGCGTTAGGAACATAAGAAGAGCCCCGCTGCTTCAGACCAATAGTCCATCTAGTCCAGCATCCCGTCTCACACAGTGGCCAGCCAGTTCCTCTGGACGGCCAACAACAAGGCAGAGAGGCTGAGGCCTTCCCCTGATGTTGCCTCCTAGCTCTGGGATGCAGACGTTGACTGCCTCTGAATATGGAGGTTCTCCTCAGTCACCATGGCTAGTAACCATTGATAGACTTAACCTCCATGAATCTGTCTTAACCCTCTTTCAAAGCTGCTTATTCCTGTGGCCGTCACAACATCCTCTGGCAGCAAATTCCACATTTTAATCACTCTCTGTGTAAAGTAGTATTTCCTTTTTGTCCGTCCTGAACCTACTGCCCATCGGCTTCAGTGGTGGTCTCGAGTTCTAGTCTTTTGGGAGAGGGAGAGGTGGTACAGCCAGAGAACACTTGTACGTCTGTTCCGAATGGTCTTTTTTTGGGATTGAGGTCTCGTCCCATTTTAAATTCTGCGCACGGCTTTCTCCGTTCCTGTTGAATGGTCTGTGAATGTGTGTTCTCTCTCCCCCCCCCCCCCCCCCGGAACCAGTGGCTTTCAAACTGTGTTTTTCCTACATATATGTCTGGAATTGGAACCTAACTAGCAATTTTATTGATGCGCGAGGCAGCATAAATATGCCTTTTAAGTCATTTCTGTGGGTGCTGGAGGCATAAACATTTATCTCTTTGTAAATGCTGGTGATTCAGATGGCATTTGCTGCTGCTGGAAGGTGGCTTTTTAAACTCCATTATCTCTCGTCGGCTTTTAGAATATTTGGGGGTGGGGTGCCTGTGCTACCGTCGTGTTGAAACAGCACTCTTGCCAGTGCTTCTGTTTCTCTTTAAGCATCTTGAACTTAAAGTGGATGCTAAAAATACCAGGGAA